ATTAGTCACCAAAATCTATGATATAATAAGTATATCACAAAAACTTTTGCAAAACGGATATTCAATGTATTTATAGCGAGCCATAAGTGTTGTGTCAATAATTGTGTGGTTATTGCCAATGAGTGCAGTGTTTAGTGTTTCTAAGATTACATAACTTTCACCGCATTTTGCAAACAATGAAAACGCTTTTATTGTTTAACATTTGATCGCATTTAGCAATTGATAGCACTTTTGATGTCACGATTTCATTATCTCTTCATCTGTTTTATGTGTTCAATAAAACTCAACAAAAACTTAAGTGCTTTACGAGAGACTTACAGCTGAGTTATCTCTACCTATAGTTTGTTGACTTCATTACATGCTATGAATGCTATTATTCTTATGAATATTCAGCAAAAAATATTTAAAGTTTTCACTCAATGTCTAAGAATTGATGATTTTATATGTAGTCAACAAAATGTGTTGTAAATTATGTTCAATACCTTAAAATAGATTATTTGATTAGATTTACATTTAAAATCTAATAAATAACACTGAAGTTAATTTATTAGCTGGCAAGTTTTGCGTGAATGTTAATAGATTTAATTTCAAACAAAATAAATATAAATACAGTATATTGCACATTAAATATAAGTAATATGAGCATGATTTCAATTTTAATTAAAAGTAATAATGATGTACAACAATATTGTTAATTTGAGTGTTTTGTTTTGCAAATATTTTGTGCAATTTATGTACCCTGATCAATTTCGTGAATAATATCTACATTCACTTAACATGAGTCACAAACACATAATACTATTGTTTTGTCATTAATTTCAATGAATTCCTTAAGTGTAGTGTTTATCAGACTTTTTACGAAATGACAGATAATATCGATTATACAGTAAATAGGATTATAATACATGTATTGCACATAATGTTAAGTAATTTTGTTTACAATTCAGTGATTCATTGCTTATTATTATATTTAATATATTTATTTTAATAGAGAAATCATTTATCATTAAATTTAATTGACTTTCAATGACTAGACATCAGGATGTTTTTCAATTGACTTAAAATAAGTTATATTTGGCATACATTACGAGCAATATTAATTATTCACTATATTTAATAAGTTGTCCAGATAATTGATTTTATTATAAGATGTTTACCAAAATTGATGATGATTAATTAAATTATAGATTAATAAAATACAATTATTTACACTGAACTAAAATACAGATATTTATTCACATGGGTGCATTAAATCAAATAATATATTTAATACTTTGGAATTAAAGTAAGACTTATAGTTGACAACCTGTATAATTATGACATTATATTACCATAATCCGGGTTAATTATGCGATTATGATTGTATGTATTATTCATTAACCTTCACAATAATTGTCAGTTTAACTAAAATATAGCGATATTTAGATCAATATTCATGTCATTAGTTATGGATTAATATTATTATCAAAAATCTAATGTTAACTAAAAATATTAATAATAAGAAATGTTTGAATTATTTTGATCTAAACTTAATACATCCATTGTAATTATGTAATAATTATTGGATTTATATATAATTTTATGAGTAATGATTGTAATTTAAAATAGTTTGAATAATTATTTGTATATAAAAACAAGTTATATTGATGACCCAATATTAAATCAATTGTATGTCAATTAAACTATAATTTAAATATAATTTCTCTATTGTTTTAAATGTTCAATGCAATTGTTAACTTATATATTTTTGAATAAATCATAATTTTATATAAAAAATAGTATTATAGTAAAAGTAATTAATAATATTCTAGTTTAGTTAAAATATCAATATTTTTTGCAAAACTTATAAAATCAATTTATGTAACAAAAAATATTTAAATAATCCAATTGTTAACACACTATATCTAAGCGTAAATAATAAAAAATATTTTTTGTTATGAAAATGTAGGTGCGGTTAATAAATGTATTATAGTTTACAGCAAAATTAAACATTAATTTTTCATTCACAGAGAAATGAAAAAATATTTTTACATTTGAAAAATTATAACAAACTTATAATTAGTTAGTATAAGTTTATATAAATTATACTTTTCATTGTGTTTGCATATTATTTGTGTTATGTATTAATACAATAGTATAAGTGAAACATAATATGATTATGAGAATTGAATTATTTATTATACCCATTGTTTTGTGTTATAAATCATTTACATATGAATTGTTAGAGTCTTTGATATTAAAAATTTATTGTAATTTAAAATAGAAATTTTGCTAATTATAAATGTGTGTGATTTGTTTGCATATAATGGATATTTTATTTATAAAAATTGGTTTTGGTTTAAAAATCAAAACTGTAATTTTTGATGAAAATGTGTGAATTACTAATTTGATAAAATTTTAAATATATATCTCAAGTATGGAGTACTCAGTACATCCAGATAAATTTTAAAATTAATAATTAAAAATTAAATCAATTTTACAATAAGTAATCTTACAGATAATATCAATATTAACATTTATTTTGATCAAATGTTAATTATATCACTTTATGTATTATATTAATTATAACAGATATTTATTAATACAACAAAATATTTTTAGTCGACAATATAACAAACTGTACATTTTAATATAAATGTTTGAAATACCAATTATAAAATATTTATTTATTACAATTGGAAGCATCTCGATGAATTTTATTTTTAAACTGTTTAATTAACAATAGAATTTAATTTGAATTTTACATATAAAATATATATCCTGATCAATTATCAATTATAAAAGTATTTGCCAAACTTTATCCTAATATAGTAGTGGTGGATATTTATTAATAAAATAATTGTAACTTTTACAAATTGTAATTTATATTAATCAAATATTTTGAGTCACTTTTTAAATATTTATAAATGTTATTTGGAATAATTTATTCAAAAATTTGTATTAATACACTGGTCATTTTATGAGTACACCGAGTTACTTTTTAAATTTAAAAATTAGAATTTTACATGGACAATATTTTTAGAAAATTTATCCTGATTAACAAAATTAAATTTTTACTTAGTCATTATGTACTGTATAATATGAGAGCACTGGTAGTTCACAACAAAAGTGCCAAACCCATATATTCAAACAAGTTTATGAATATTTATTTATAGACAATACAGTACTCGTGAACTGTATTTCCCTTTCATATACTCGTTAATCGCATAAAAAACTTATGATTATTATTAAGTAATTCACAGAAGTGTTTATAATTCAACGCTAAGAAAATGAAAATATATAATAATAACAATAATAATAGTGAATGAGAAATATAAAAGTATGAATTATTTTAATGGACCGTATGTTTTCATTGTAATAGTAAATAGGAGTTTGTGTTAAAAAGTACATTTCATTGTTTATAATGAATTAAAATGCTATTACTTTATATTTTTATTATTACACATTATTGTTATTTAATTTTTTTCACTGTGTCACATAAATATAATTATACACAATATTAAAATTAAATGCACTTTTATATTTGACTTTTCTATTCAAACAAAAAACTTTTTTATTTTTATATATTTTTTCAATAGACGAGTGAATATAAATTGTGTATTAATTGCTAGTAATTTAAATGTAAAATCTTTACAATAGATTTTAAAAATATAAATATTAATAAATTTCTTTATTTTAATTAATCAATTAATATATTACTTAATATTCATTAAAAGTATATTTATATTAACATTGTGTGCCGGAATTAATAATATTAAATTTAAATCAATTTCACATAACCTTGTTAATGGTATTCATAGTAATTATTCCCTATTAAGTTATTAATGTAATTAAAATATGTTTTAATTTGATTATGAGATTGGGATAATTAAAATCATTGAAAAAATGTTAATATACAAACAAGTTTGCAAACCTAAACTACTTATAAAATTATATATTTAAAGCAAATATTTTTCGCAGTGTTTGCGCGACACAAGTATTTGCGATAAAAATATCCGTTTTAAATATGAATATTAAAAAATCTAATTGAGTTAAAGTGCATTATATAAAAGTCAAGTATTTGAGCCAAAAATCAAAAACAAAATAAACATTTTGAATATAAGTCTAGCGTTAGTTTAGCGCAAAAACAACACCAACTCGTGTAACATAACTGTAATGTATTTGCAGGTCATATACACCGCTAAATGTGTGTATCGTGTACTGGGAATAGTGTATTCGCACACACCAACCATAATATACCCGATCATTTAAATAAAGTATAGTTGGCACATACACTCTCAACTGGTTGCTAATGTATACCAGTATATGAACGGCATAGGAGTATAATAGGCTCACCACCGATAGATAGCTAACCTGTTTGCTGCCAGTCTCACCACATAGCTAGCATAAACACCCGGTGCTGTTGCTGCTGGCACTACACACAGTATAAAAATATTGGCACTGGTAGGTAGTTCCTAAAGTGCACCGACAGTCCGTATTCAGTGCTCCATTCATACAGATATTCAACATTTTACTCGTATGAGTGCCTCAACAGTATAGCTGTTGTTGTCTATCATATCGTGAATAACATTATCCCATAAGCGGTGGTCGAGTGTTGCACTCGAATGGAGAAAATGTTTTTTGTGTAAAAATTTTTTGTTATAAATATAAATAAAATATTTTATTATAAGACATCTCTTTATTAGAGTGCAATCAAACACAACATCAAGTTTTTAGTTGTATTTTTTGCTGTTTATTAATATCGTATAAACAGCTATTTATACAATACCTGTGTTTGTTTGTATGACTTTTCATTATAAGAGACAAAAATTGTTTTCTTAATATTTTTTAAGTGATGAACTGTTTTGTTGTCAACTATTTTTGAGTTCAACACAAAAAGTTGTCGAGAATTGTATTTTATTCACACTAATTGTTACCATTCAGTTCATGTGTCGACATAAAATAAGCTTGCTAAGTCGTTTATTTTGAAATTGTCCAGTTTGACAATTATATACATGCTACATATTTGAAGTTTTAATTATTGACATCATAATATTCCCAAATTTGTTGTCAAATACCTTAATATTAATTAATAAACTTTTAAATTAAATATATATTTTCGTTGTGTTACTCATATTTACTACAATATAACTGTTATATCAGTATTACTCCAGTGATTAACTCGTACCTTGATAAGAGATTTGTGTTAATGACTATTATACTCGTATAAAATCTACATTTTGTGTGTCATTCATATTTTCTTATAAATATTGTGTGCATTGACTGACTAATTATGGGAGACTTCAGTAAAATACGCGACAGAGTCCGCGATCAGACCACTAGACTGTACCGTCGGGTCAGAAATTTTGGCCGAAGGTTCATATGATTTGAATTTATATTTTATTATTTAGTTTTATATCTATTTTTAATATTTATAACACTTTTTTGCTCTCAAAAGTCTATTTTATCAGAAATATATTTTACAACAATTTTCTAGCATGTTACATGTGTTGTAATATAGTTTTAAGTGTTTAGTTATTGTACTTTAATTTGGTTTAAAATTTGTGTTTATTTTCCTTAAGATATTAATTTCGTACGAAATGTTGTGTTTGTCTCTCGAAACACAAAACCTTTTCATTTCTCTCATGACTACTGAACTATTGGTTTAGAAAATTACATCAAATTATCAGCAAATCGTTTGTTATTATGTTTTATATGAGAGAAAAATGAAATGATTTAAATGTCATTTGATTTAGAGTTTAGATAAACATTATTCTCTTAGTCTCTCTCTCTCTCTCTCTCTCTCCCACTCTCTCCCGATAAACACAATAACTATTGTTTTCATATCCGATCGAAACATACAATACTTTTATCTCCAAAGTATAGACAAAAATGTTTTTTGTCTGAAAAATATTAGTTTTCAAGAAAATACAGAAAATATTCCCAAATATTGCCTAAAAATCACTCAAAACGTGATAAATCTGTACTTATTTTGAGCCATATTTTGCTATTTATTTTGTTTCGCAAACAATAGACAACTTTTGTGAAGACAAAACTTATTTCAAACTTTTGCCTTATTTTTGTTTTCGCAAAGGATTTTCGCCAAAAGCGAGTCTAACGGACAGCCATCCGGAACTACACCCGAACAGCAACACTATAACAGTACAGTCGGCGCTCAGGATATGGCGGCTAATAACCAGCGGAAGGGACAGGCGGTTCAGCCACCGCTACACAAAGTAATTATGGTCGGCAGTGGAGGGGTAGGCAAAAGCGCACTCACCCTCCAGTTCATGTACGACGAGGTATGTAAATGTGTGGACAGTCATACTTTTTTTGCATACATTTCCCACAGAAAATCCCATTAATTCCGGAAATAATACATTTTTTGGTGTAATTTCTACATATATTAAGCTATTATAAGAGTACGAGGGTTAGTTTTGCTAATTACTATATTATATGCCCGCGTGTATACGTTTGTTAGTGTAATGGCATTTTGATCCTGATAAATTTGACAGTAATAGGCGCTGAATAATTATTTATACAAGTGTTCACTGATCATTTAACACGACCATAATGCATTTGTTTATTATTTTGGTGCAGTGTATAAGTGACTTGTTAGCGGTTGGCTACACATTTTCCCTGTAGCTCCCCTACCATTCCCTACCGGTGCTCTCTCTCGCAAATTTCACTGCCTATTATGAATAAGCATACAATGGATGCCGTATTTCACAGCAATTTATAATTTTTAAATGAATACATAATAACACGAAATGTAAGAAAATAAAATCAAAAATAAGAAAAGTGTATGAAATGTATGACTAATACATAGCAAGCAATTGATTACAATCTCAGCGAAAAGGTATTCAATTGTTAGCACTCGTAGACACACACCACTCGCATACCGGTGCAAAACGCACAGGTATTTCATGCGAGGCGTGTAAATTGAATTGAGTATATAATATAAATGGGGTGAATGTGGTGGCTACCCCCCGTTTTCTATTTATGCCCTTAATTGATCTTGTTTATTATTATTTTCACGGACTTCGTTGCCAACAGTTTAGCGAAGTTTTGATTTAAAAAAATTATAAATACTTTTAAAACTTTTTTGAGATTTTTTGTTATTTTTATTACATTTTATTGGAATTATTTATTTTGAACTTAATTTGTATTGCAATTCACAGATTGATTGTGTGATTACTGAGTGTTGTGTAAGTAATGGGAAAATAGTTTTTTTTGAGTTTAAAAGTTTTGTAATTTCATGTGATTTTTACATTACTTTTTTGGGACAAAATATTTTATGTGTCAGTGAAACGTACGGTTTGTTTGAGTTTCTCAGTAATTGTCGTTAACTGTAAGGGTAGGGGTTAGGGAGCTTAGGGTTGGGCATACATTTCATGCCCTAATCAAAATAAATTATAGTTTCAATTTGATATGATTTGAATTTCATGATTAATTGCTTATTTATTATGTTATGATATTTTTACGATAACTAGTGTTATTGAATTTTTGTTTTTAAGGCTATATATCAAAATATCATATCACTTATCCAGATCAATAATATCTTGATCATCTGAACCCATTGAGCACTTGATCATCACTAAACTAACAAATAGACAAAGTTTTCAAAACAATTTTTTGATTAAATATTTGTTGCGAAAAAAATGTTTCCAATTGATTGCATAGATTTCTGGATCAATGATTAGTGTATAACACTGTTTGCGATCGTATTGATTGAAAACTATTTTTAAACATTTTTCAAAACTCCGAGTATTTGTTTATTTACTTAAAAACCTCTAATTTATAGGCACATGGAGTTTGTATTGCCATTCAATGGGTATTTATGTTTGGAAATAAAAATAAGTTTTTAAAGTTCAGCGAATAGTTTTGATATAAAATTTTTATTACACTTAAACTATTTTTCCGCAATTATATTAACGTGTATTTGATTTTATATTATAAGTTTTAATGTAAACATGTGAACATAATGGGTGTGTTTCACAGTAAATATTACATATGGAAAGGGTGTATAAAAATAGGATACTTTTTAAACTGACATTCAATGGCTTTTTGTGTTAAAGAAATCATTCAATGGTTTCTACATTTAAATTCATATCAAATGCTGTATTATATTATAAAGAAAATCCGATTTATTATACACTTATACATAGAAATTGAATACAATTTTACGCTATTTGTTTAGTTTTTGAATCTAATTGTCCCTGTTTTCATATGAATTCTCTCTCTCTCTCTCTCTCTCTCTCTCTCTCAAGAAATTGAATACAATTTTTTCAGACAACTCATGAAATATAAGAAGATATTTCTCCACAAAAATATAAGTCATTCTTCGGGTTATTATTAGCGCTATATTTTTTTCAAAACTCCGAGTATTTGTTTATTTACTTAAAAACCTCTAATTTATAGGCACATGGAGTTTGTATTGCCATTCAATGGGTATTTATGTTTGGAAATAAAAATAAGTTTTTAAAGTTCAGCGAAAAGTTTTGATATAAAATTTTTATTACACTTAAACTATTTTTCCGCAATTATATTAACGTGTATTTGATTTTATATTATAAGTTTTAATGTAAACATTACGTGAACATAATGGGTGTGTTTCACAGTAAACATTACATATGGAAAGGGTGTATAAAAATAGGATACTTTTAAACTGACATTCAATGGCTTTTTTGTGTTAAAGAAATCATTCAATGGTTTCTACATTTAAATTCATATCAAATGCTGTATTATATTATAAAGAAAATCCGATTTATTATACATAGAAATTGAATACAATTTTACGCTATTTGTTTAGTTTTTGAATCTAATTGTCCCTGTTTTCATATGAATTCTCTCTCTCTCTCTCTCTCTCTCTCAAGAAATTGAATACAATTTTTTCAGACAACTCATGAAATATAAGAAGATATTTCTCCACAAAAATATAAGTCATTCTTCGGGTTATTATTAGCGCTATATTTGTACCCAAAAGGCATTTAAGACCTCAATATTTATTGGAATTTATTTTTTTTAAATATTTTAATATTTATAAATCCTTTGGGACGGGACTGTCAGTCAGAACTGGATTAAAACTGCCGGTGCTTTTTATGGTGTATGCACACAACTGGATCAGCGTTACATTTGTTTATAAATTGAATTATAAGTTAAATACTATGCTAATTAAGGATTAGCCTACCCGGGGACTGACACATGAAATGTCAAATTATAGCATTTGTGTTATGTTTTTGCTGTAGTTTTTTTATAACGCATAGAAATCTCAGACAACTCTTTCTGATGTGAAAACAAGAATTATATATAATTATAGAAACCGTTTTGAAAATATCATATGATATTCAAGTTATTTAATTATGTATTTTGCATTGAAAACAAACAAAACTTAACTCTGTTTTAGTTTTTTATAATTGAAAATTATATGTTTAGGAGTTACTTGACTATACATACAAAAATAAATACTGAATAATTTTTTTATTATATACATAAGAATTAGGATATTATTAATTATTTATATAGAAAATTAAATATTTAAATATATAGAATAATAAATATTTTCAACAAGGTTACTTTTTATCTAATTGTGACATAATATAAATCTATATTCATGGTATAATTAGGTATTAGATTGCATTGATTACATTTTAATAATAGGTTTGTTTGACAATTAATTAGGATTTTGTTTGTCATTCTCTAGTTATAAACCATTAAAGTATACATACATGTCGGTTGCCCTGGTGAAATTGTGTGTTTATATAATATTTATATAATATTTCCAGGAAATAATTGCTATTTTTATGATTACCTATAAAATATATTTAATTCAGGACTATGTGCAAGGTGATTGCCAATTGAATGAGTAAATATATGACGTGTGAATCGCCAATTTATTATAATTATGTTTATTTAGTCTATTTTTAGTTTAAGTTATAATTATATTACATAAGAATTCTGTAGTCATAAACAAGTTTTTATAACCTAGGTTGGTCATATTTTTAATGAATATATTATTTTCTATTCACAACTCAAAAATAAGATTGATAATAATTGATTTATATATGAATGCTATTTTTAATTAATTAATTTCCTAATCAATAAGTTGTCGATTAAATTGCAAATGAATTTGAGGGCAAATATAGTTTTCCTTAACATTCGTTGTATTTGTTATTTATTGTGAAATAATGAGTTTAAGACATAGACATGGGTTATGTGCCAAAAATATGTCAGTTTTACGGTATTTATGCAACTGTTTAATAGTTATAATAAAAGCACTTTTTGTAATAATAATCGTAATAAGGATTATATAAACAACGAGTG